GACTTGTAAAAAGTAAAAAAGACTTGACAGCAAAAGCTTGGCTTGATAATTACTACTCGGACTCTATTAAATTCAGACAAATTTCTACTATTTGTCTCATTTTAACAGAGTTCACTGGTTTACTGACTTAATACGTGACCCTACAAACAGCGATGGCGACGAATACACTGGTCGTCCCAAAAAAAAAAACTGATCACACTGGAATACATCAATAAGGTCCACAAAATCAAATTGTACAGTGAAGCTGCAGAAAACAACAATAAGCTGACACCTTGTATATTTCCAAAGAACGTACCGGGTTCATATTTCATGTACATTTGTCTATGAGAACGCTCTTCTGGAAGTGGATACTCCATATACTAACAGTTTACCAAAAAAAAAAAAAAACAATGTGTCGATCATTCTGCGAGCAGTGATCCAAAAAAAAATAAAAAAACTTTTAAATAAGATTTCAAAAAAAAATGGGTTTTAACTATAAAACGTCTTAAATGAACGCAATGAAGACATATAATGCGAAGTTCCTTCAACTTATAGTGTAAAATGAGATTTAAGAAAGAGTAGAAGGAAGACAACATATTAAAAGGATATCAATGTTTCACTTTCAAATTATTCGGGATTATACTGGCCAAACAATGGTTGTTGCAGGTACAAATCAATAATTAAGAATTTCATGTCCTATGACAAGAAATCTATTTCTAATCGAATAGAATAATTTTGGTAAAAGTAAAGAAGTCTTCAGTTCCGAATTTCAGATCATTGTTTGTACAATCGATAATAACATCAAATATCCATCATCAGTGGTGTTTGGTGAAAACTTTTGGTTTAATTACCCATAAAAAATTTTTGGTAAGTGCTGCAAAATATTTTACAAAAAATTTAATTTACTCTGTAAATTATAATTTGTTCAAATACCAAATGCATATGAGATCACTTAAGGAATAGTATATATCCTTCGAAAAGTTATGAGATCGAACATATGTTGGAATGGAGACCTCCAAAAGATGATCGAAAAACTATGATACTTAGCATATAGCGATAAACTTTTTATGAGTAACCTAAGCCTAAAAGTCACTTTATATACCTCAGAACATCCAATGGCGAAATCGCATAATTTTACAGATTTGCGAAGTATTGTCACGAAGTATTTCCAGTATTTTGGAGCTCAAATAGTTCGAGTATATTGAAATGTTCGATAATGTTGTTGAAAGATGTTTGAACAGCTCGAATTGCTGATTTACTTTTTATTTCGTTTTTTTCGTATTTTTTTTCTAATAAAAAAAATCTCGAAGCTCGAAGTATCCAACAGATCAACTATAGTACAACCCTTAATAATCTACAATAATATTTTATGTGGTATTTTTAAGCGATGAATCCATACATTCCGTGCTAACCCTATGAGTTTAAGTCAGTTGAGCTTTTGCAACAGAAATAGAAATACCAGGGAAGTGAATATCGCAAAGCAGTGTGCCGACTTTTGAGTGTTCGTTTGCTGTACAGTTGCCCGAGATGTCTTTGTAGTAAGCTGCTCATATTACTTGAATACTGAGAAGACCAAAAAATTCACTAATAGAAGTCCAGCACTTTCGAGCAACGAAAGAAGCAACTCTTATGCCTGTCAGAGATTTGGTTGCGATTTGTCCTAAGTTTTAAAATATTTAAAAATATCTCTTATACCTATAAACATATATGTATATATGTATATATATATAGACTATATATAGACTATATAGACTATAGACTATATAGACTATTAGAGATATTTTTAAATTTTTCAATATATATAGATATATATATATCTTTGAAACTTTGTTAATGATGTACTCTTTATGTACTCTGAGTAGGAGGGCTAATATATATATCGTTAATATATTTTTGTATAAACAATGGCAGAGAAATTTTTAAAATAATGAGTATATGGAGCAATCGGTAATTATTTTTAGATACCCATACGATATTAAATACTAATGTTAGTTTTTCAGTAAAGAAGAGGAATGTAAAATATATTTTAATTAATATAAAGTAATCATTACTGGGATATAATTCTTCATTAAGAATGAATGTCCTTTTGACCGAGAATAACATTCACTCCTAATAAACAAGAACTCTTTAATGTGTGTAATCCGAGTCAAGAAGTATACACTATTTATGTATATATAGGTTATATTCTTATTAAAAAGTTCTGGTTCAGTATATCTATATATATCCATATGTGAATATATATGTATAAATATTTCCACATATTTGGTGTAAATTTATTTATAAATTTGCTGCACTGAACCAAAATGCGTTGCAAAGTGCTATGCCAGACAAATGTGCTACAGGATTGGATAATGAATTTCGTATACAATTTATTGGTCTTGCAGAGCGCATATGAGCAACAAATTATGGCCATGAACACGTCTCGAAATAATTTATGTTTTTATATAAATAATTGTTTATTTGTTAGGCCAGAATACAAATATTTTATATACGAACGATTATTGTATACGAGCCACACAAGAATATGTAATGAGCATAATTAATAATATTTTTTATTCCTATTGTTGTTTTGCTTAGTTCATAAATGTATATTAAATTAAATATAATACCGCTGGACGAACTTAAAGTTAAAAAATAATATTTAAATTTTTAAAAATATTTACTTTTAATATATATTTAAAAATAATGTGGAATTAATATATTTATCACCAATTTACGTGGTGATATTTTTTTATTAACTCTTAACCCATTTCGGACCACCGTGCACCACACAGCTAGCTTTGAAAATTTTTTAATATTCAAAAAATACTTTATATTTTATAGGTTAAGATAAAGTCAGAGTAACCTTTTAAATATATATTAAACTTTTCTCATTTACTTAAACTTGTTTCATTTTACTATTTACTATTAAATTTCACCGTAAAATTTCAAGCCTGAAATTGCCTGGTACTTAATGGGTTAATCGATATTATCTTAACAGGTTTTCAGCATTTGCGACTTCAGATATATTATTAGATATGTTATCTGATATAGTTAGTTCTTTCTCTACAAGGTCTTAACTTAATTTTACTTCAGCACATCTATATACATACATACATATATATGTATATATACATATATTTTTATTTTTTGTTTTTTCTGTTCTTTTACATATATATATATATAATAATATATATATATATATATTATATATATATAATATATAAATGTATATATATTATAAAAATATGTATATTACAAATATATTATAATAAATTATATATTACATATTTTTATAATATATATACATTTATATATATATATATATATTCATATATCAAAGAATAGAAAAAACAAAACAAGTACAAGAGAAGAGATAAAAATGGAGGAGAGATTATGTTGGAGGCGCTATGTGGACTGTCATCTAGACAACGTGGGACATCTCAGATAATTTCTTAAATCCTTTATATCCTTAACATATTAACAACTAGGAGAAATAAAAACAAAACTATAACTTTTATTCATTACAATTGATCTAAAAAACAAATTTAAACACCTATTTTAAACAATTGTAATACTTCCATTATTCAATAAAACGTCTGTTCCTTGAGCTACTTGTAGTAAAACTCAAGTAAAACACAAGTAAAGTATAAACTGATAGCGTAACACAAATAAAGCACAAAATTTTGCTCCTTACACAGATTTTCATGGAACAGTTTTGTGTAAGAACTTGTGAGAACACCAGTGCCGTGTAAATAAATTATACAAACATTTAAATGCAAACCAAAACAGCTGATTCACACATCAACACAAATTTGACTTCGAATAATATGTACCAGTAAAGTCTATGTAGCATCTTCAACTCACGACAGAGATGTTACACTCTCTCAGATGTTTTCTTTTACTCGAAAATTTACTGGTGGAACGCACTTGTGTATACACAGTGTTACTCAAAGTTACTACAAGTAGCTCGTGGAATAGGCCTAATATCCATATTCAATAATAGTTTAAGTAGACTATTACCGAGGATGTGTGAATGCTTTTATTGCAAATAAGGCGAATCACATATAGCGTCTATTAGATGTGGGATCGGTGTGTTGTTTTTTTTTTTTGTTGAACTTGCATTACTGTGATTTGAAATTAATATGTTTTAATAAACATTACAAAAAATATCATTGCATATGCGAACTAAAGTGTTAAAGGTTCGGTATCAATGCCTTAGAACTGAATTAATTATCGTTGAAAGTAGTGAACGTTGAAAATGTCCACGGATATAATAAAACTGATAATATAAAATTTCTGTTATATGGCATTTACATTGCCCTTAAATGGCTTATTTCAAATGAGTCATTTGAAAGTGTTTACATTAGTTGTAGTTCATTTCTTCTCATTTCAAACAGCTGATTTTTCAACTTTCCTGTTGATTTGATTTCTGGGCTTTGCCAAAAAAATGTTGGATGAAGGTTAAATATATCTTTAAACCTTACAATATAAATTGAGAACTTATTTTTTTTTATGTGCATTATTTTCAACGAAATGCAACCACCAAACATTTGTTTACCTTTTTTTGTAAGTATTTCAAAAACAGCTGTCTCAAACTGTCAAAATGCCATGAAAATTTTTTTTTAGGGTATGTTCAATGTATGCGTTTGCAATTGGAACTCTTTTGCAACTCCTTTGAACTCATTTGCAACACGTTGGAACTTTTTTATGTAAAATGAGATACATTCCGTGAGTGTGGAACTCATTTGCGCATATGATATTTTGTATGCAGAAATCAGTCTGATTTTTGATCCAAATCAGTCATTTGAGGCCAGTGTAAACGCCACATAAGATATTAGATATGAATAACGAATATATTTTAATCGTTTTAATACTAAAACACAACAAAGGCGTTTTCAAAAAAAATGTTGTCATCCTAAACAAACCCTTGAACGCTGTTTAAAATGGAATTGATTGAACAATCACTGTGATATAAATATGGCATACGATTCTAGTATTTTCTTGTTGGCTACGTCACTTTAAGTAAACAATTGAATTCTTGAAAACATTTTATAAAGTTCAAACCTTAAAAAGTTTATAGATATATTCATAAATAACTGCGTTTGTTTTAACGTTTAGAATTGTTGAGAAGAATTCGGAATTTATTCGAAAAGTGAATTCGCCAAAATATTTTCGTTTGATGTTGTGGATAATATAGAAAAGTTATCTAAATAACTCTTGGTGCAGTGACGGAGCAGAAGGTATGTAAATAGTTGGCGTGGAACAATATCGAACAATTTGGGAATGAATGCAAAGTAATTCAAGCAATTTAAGGTGTAAAGAGGGTTATATTTTTTTTAATATTAAATCAAAAAAAAAAAACCCACACCTTATAATTTTCACCATCAATACATTGCTAAATTATACAGATAGAATTAAAGTATTTTATAGAAAATAAATAGCCAATAATGGCGTTGAGTAGGTGCAAAAGCGCAGATACACTGCGTTCCATCTAATAACGTACGCATAAAATCAATTTTTAAGTTAAATAATGTTATTTTAAAAGCATTTTATTTTGCTTTGATATAAAGACATATGATATGTTATAGTTCACCACAATCTAATTGAATATAATTTTAAAAAATTTATTTAAAATTTATTACTTATTACTTAGTTGGCCATTAGAGACGTGAGTCATTACAGGGAATTAATGCGCCCTCTTTCGCACGCTTGTTAACTATTTCGTTAACATCAATTGGGACTTATGATATATATCCCAAATAGCGTTACATTATTCATAGTAGTCACCTCAAATATTAGATTAATGCAGTTTTTGATTAGTTTTAGTTTGGTGGTCTAGAATTAAAGAGATTTTAAAGCTGCCGGGTTATTTAAATATATAAGAATTCTAATGTTTTTGTATTGCCGTTTTAGGCATTCTTTAGCAAAGATCTTAATGGCATGTGATATGGTACTTCCTATCATCTGTGAATGATAGGAGAAATGTTCTTTAGAACGACTAATTTATATCTGAATCTTTGGAGGCAACATCACTTAAGTCCATCAACAAGATTTGATTGTTCAAATACTTACAATGTCTTACGTTTATTTTTTCTTAAATCTAATTGCCTATATAATTACCTAATGACCTATATCTAATACTTGTATAAATACGTATATTAATATGAGTACAATCATTTATGTGTAAATTTAATATTAATATTATGTTGAATTCTCTTGTATCTGAAGCATTCGATACAAGGTATAGGTTTGATACCTTATAGAATGAAAATAATTTAATTAAATGATTCATATAAACGTTTAATTTGATTAAATAATTTAAATAGATTTTTTAATGAACATAATTATATAAATATATTTTAAGATCTATATAATATATAGATAATATATAATATAGATCAGTAGATGCAGTAGAATTTATGCAACCTGTAGGAAACTGAACTATAAAACTGCTTACTTTAGTAGGTTATTTTATCGCTAGATCTAAATGGTATCTTGACTATTTAGCTATTAAAAACTAATAGTTATCAACTTTTGAGTTTATATACATTTAGCCAGTCTATTTTGTTATTGGTCTATATATAAACGACAAATGTTAAAGTAATACATACCTGCTTGTGTGACCCTTTTGGGGTATGTTGAACGGCACTTAACGAGTGGCTCCGGGGCGTAGACCCGGCCGTGCTTGGAACTGTTATTTATCTATGATTAACAATGCTTGAACTATATTTTTTACTTATTTTTTTAAGTATATTCTGTTCTTATGTGCTATAAATTAATTTATTATAATAGCTTATATAAATTTGACCACTGTGTCAAATTAAAATTTTAAATAATAATGAATAGTTGAAATAATAGATTTAAAGTTTAGTTAGTCTATTTATTTGTCTATGATTTAACAGTGCTTTCACTGTACTATTTATTATTTTATTTTATTTTTTGTAAACAATTTCTGTTTTTCATAGCATAATATTTTATAATGTTATATGATGCATATTAATGCGAAAGGTCCATTGCCTTCACATAACTTTGACTATCGTATTTATATTTTTCACTGTAAGTCACAGAGATTTTACTGTACTATTAATTTTTTTAAGAATATTATATGTTGTTTTTCATAATTGCTTTAAATTCATAAAATATCATATGTTGTCAAAATCATTTTCCCATTATTTAAATATTTATCCTCAAATAGAAATGAAAATAGTGCTTATTGGAAGCCTAAATCTGTTTATCCTATTCAAACATAATAATATCTTATATCCTACTAATCTTTCAAATATTTTTATTAAAAACTTAAGTGACTAAGTTGACTAGTTTCAATTTCGTCACCACAGCGCTTTTTCGTTTTTTTTAATCAAATTTACTGCCAAATTTACTGCAACCCAAAATCGAGTACTTCAAATTTGACAATTGAATTGGGTGAAATGAGAAAAATCCTTAGTTTCATTGAAAATACATAGTTGGAGTACATTAACTCCATGTTGTCATATGAACGGAAGTATAATTTGGAATTTATGAAGAACACTGCGTAACACGTGCTTCCTGCCGAATATAAGTATTGGGTACCACATTTATTTTGACGCACTTCAAAAAACCCACATACTAACACCACTAAGTCCTATCATCCAAAAAGGAGCAGAAAAGAAAAAAAAATGTTTTTTTTTATAAAAATGACATAGGCATGGTTACAGCACTCCAGAACTACTCGTAAGAGTGTTTCATCTGTAGGCAGTGGCTCCGTAGTGTGTGTTAAATGTGGTGCGTAAATAAATATTCTGATGCGTAAGCACAACATGAACTCGTGCAGGAACGTAAGCACCACAAAGCAGTTCCACATGCGGAGCAGCGAGTCGGGGTTAAAAAAGCATAGTTCAATTTTGAAGACTGCATGAAGCTCTCTCAATGTGTCCATTGTTCACTTTTCCGTATTTCTTATGGGCTTATATTAAAATTAACTTGCTCATACTACATGTGCACGACGAACGCACCCAAAAAGGGATTGCTGAGGCAACCCATGATAGTGGAGTGAATAAGGCATTTGAGTATTATGCGACATGATTTGTTAAGTGCGATTGTTAAAAAAAAAACAAAAAAAAAAGAAAAACCCAAAAAAATTTCCGGAGATTCTCTCAAGTATTTTTTCTTCATATATTTGATGCTCGAGGAAGTTTTATTTATTGACAAAGTTAAATTTTAGTTGGGAATGATTGCTTTTCAAATTTAAGTTGACAGTAACTGATGTGTTATTTGTCAAAATCTTTATTTAATTTCAAATAAGAATATGGTTTGTACCATAAATTGAGTTTTTGAGAAAATTATTAAATTAAAACGGTTTGCTTTCAGTTAAAATTTATTTTGGAAAGGCTAAGTATATCAGAGAATAGTATCAAAAGAAAACTTCAAGCTTTAGTTTCCATCAACAATTTTAATTTAATTTTTTTTCGAATTCTTAGAAACTTCAACTAAGGGAACTCAAGTGAGGGGAATCAAAGATTATTAATTGTTTCAATACCAGTGGTAAGTAAAATAGATTAAAACAAACACAATTTACTATAAAAAATAGTGTTCTGATAATATTAGGGGACAGTATGTAATATATTTAAAATACTTATACATAGCTTTGTGTTTTACGACTATTTATCTTGACCTTTCATGAATTTAAGACAAGTTTAGAGGTGTTGTTCTAGAGTTTATATGAAGATATAATAACGCCACTTAGGTGGTAAAGCCTTTGTTTGCCAAGAATAAAAAAAAAACGCAGACAGTGTGACAAAATCCATAGAAAAAATTATCAGAAAAATCAAATATGTTGAGATCATACGATATAGTTGAAGTGACTACAGATATCGATATCGGAGAGAACCAATCTGTTAAGATGATATGATAGTTTGCACTAAATCAGAAAATAATAGAGAAAAAACTCAATTTATTAAGATGACACCTTAGGTTGTACTCATCACCACAGTCCATACCGGAAAAATCCAAACTGTTGAAGTGATACGATAGCTTGTAATGATACATTTGGTTGCAGTGACCGGTTACGTACAAAAAATATAGTTATATAGTTGTCTGCTATGGTCCTTCTTATAACTAAGATAACTTGACACAATAAGTACTTTAAGTCTTTACTTTACTTTTAATGAAAAATAATCTATTTTTCAAGTAATTGATGTAAATTCATTTTAAAATTATTTGCTTCTTTTATTTTTACTTGAAATGCCTTAGATTAGATATAATTACAATGTCTAGTGTTCTAATAAATATAAAAATGCTTCCTTTTTTTATTAAGAACTATAAGAACTATATATAAGAAGCATATGTGTATTATAAAGAAATGCTAAGAGAAATCAGTAGAATAGTCATTCTAAGAGAGTTGACAGCCTCAAAACGACAGTCTTTTTTTTGTTAAGATGATAACGCAGGTTATTATGATTTGTCGAATAAAGTATCAGTAGCTTTGTTTCACTGAGAGTGGAGATATTCTAGTAAATTTTGTAAAAACGTTGTTGTTGTTATTGTTTCTACTCTTCGTTTAACAAACAAAGTGAAACAAGCAAAGCAAATTTGTCAGTATTACCCGTCATAGCATCTTTCTGGATGATCTGCAATTCCCTGTTTTTGTGTAATTATATTTTTTTGACTTCGTATTTACAGATTGTTGTTCATACATTTAAATCTTTTTCTAAATTTTAGTTATAACTACTTACATTACTATGGCTTCCTCTAATGATCAAAATCCCTCTCCGACTGGTTACAAAAGCATAGAAATGCATCAAGTAGAAGAAATTAATGCTAATGTGGAATGTATTAAAAAGGAAATCAATGCTATAATCGCTCAACGGAATAATTACTGGTGTAAAATACAAACAGTACTAGATTTTTGCAACCAGAATCGCAGCAGTGACCCGAAAATTCGGCATATTATAAATATACTTTCTGAGGGATTTGAGAATGACTGTTCATTGCAGGAGAAAGAACCCAATGATGCTGGGAGTCAATAAGCGTTTTCATTTACAAATTCTTGTTTAAGGTATTAATTACTATATATTCTTAAATTATTATTCTTAATAACTAAATCTTTTAATTTTTTGTTAGTTTCACTTGGTTATGTATTTACGTTTAATATTGAGGATCCTTACAGCTTAAACTAATGAATGTGATGAACATCTGGGATTATGGTATATGAAAATTCATTTTCTATCTGTAACTTAAAGTAAACAAATGGATTTGTGTTGGTTGACTTGCGCTAAATACGACCACGGCTTTACGAAAATACTGCATTTGAAAATCCAATCATACACCAAATCCTTGGAATTAATGATATATTTAGTTTAGAAAATCTAACCACTACATAAAACGTAGCTTAAAAGATATATTTATATTCGTGTGTTTATAAATGATTTAATTTTTTCGATAGTAATAAATAAATACGTTAAATAATTTAGAATTTTTTAAGAGATGATTTTTTAAGATATGTCCAAGAAAAGATCGTGGAGTGTTCGTATGTGGATTTTTGTAGATATTTTGTTTTACTTTTATTTTTAAAAAGTTTCTGAGTCTTCCGATAAATAAATATATGAAAACGATGACTGCAAAGTTATTTGTCAGGCGTATTACTATATATTGATCTCGAATTAATATATTCGGTCTGGGATTCCATTTAACGACTACTATCATTGCCGTAGATCAAAAGAGCCAGTTAGGGTTTCCTTTCAACGTTTACTATCATAGCTGTTAGTAAGAAAAGAAAAAGGAAAAGACGAATTATGTCTTATCTTTGCCAGAAGAAATAAAATAATATAATATAAAATATGTATTATATATATATTATATATATTATATAAAATATATATTATATATATTATATAAAATATATATTATAGTACATTATACTATAAATTAATAAAATGTAAATAAAAAAATAAACAAAATGATAAAAAATAGAGAAATGTAAAATAGAATAAAATAAATGTGAATAAAATAATTCAAAATAAAATAAAATCGAATAAAATATGAAATTGAATAAAATAAAATTAGATGTAATATAACAGTACATAATAATATTATATAAAATAAAGTAAAATAATGTAGTAAATAAAATTATATTAAATAATATGATAAAATAAAACAAAATAAAAAATTTCCAAATAACAAAAAAAAAAATAGTTACATAGCTTAACATAAATATTAAAAAACAAATATACATATGTATATATATATATATATACAAATAAAACTGAGCTCGAGTGGTAAAGTACTGAAATTTATCAGGCGAATAAATCTGGAAAGAAAACTATTGTAAAACATTGACAATTTCCGTCACATTGAGGGTGCAAATGGCAAATCAATAAAAACGAATTGAACTTGAATCCAATAAAAATTCACATGGAGTGACTCGCAACTCGCAACTCGCAGATACGCCACCTATCACCCTTTCACCCTTTCACATTACGAGTAAAATTTAAAAACATACGCAACGCCCGACAAAGCTTGGATTTTAGTACATATCAAAACTTTGACAATTTCAAAGCTATTTGAGCTTAGAAAAAAGGAACTAATAGAGCCAAAGACAGTACATAAAATAAAATGAAATTGAAGTGTTCGAGGGGCAGGAATCCACTGCTTCAGCAAGAATTGAGATTGGCATAAATTGGGTGTGAGTGCGGTATTTCAGTGTAAAATTTTATACGCTCCTTGTGTATTAACGCTATCGAATATGAATTGGTTGGGTTAGTGCGAATTTCAATAAAACCAACACCAGCAGTAAAAACAGTTTCAGATTTAGCATCACCAACAGCATCAGCATCACCAACAGCAACAGCAACAGCAGCAGCAACAAGAACCACAACAACAACGAAGAAAGTTATTGGAGAAATGGCAACAGCAGCAACAATTGCCACTACTCACGGATTATGGCAATAGTAGAATAGTAGAAAATCAGCTAGGAATCCACTATAGCAAAAATATCACAACAAGCAAAATAATAAAAGTGAACATAAAAATAAAAACTGAAATCAATGAGCAAGTATTCGATAAAATTGTAAGAGGAAGACAATAAGAGGAAGACTTGTAACATAAGGTTAAGCATCTTTTTTTTTATAAGGTGATACTTTGTTGGAGAGATATTAAAAACAATCACTTCAGTATTTTGCAGTGCAATAAAGAGTATATTGAATATAAAAGTATATGAGAACGTAAAGAACGCACAATAAATAATTTGAAGTTGATCACATAAACAAAGATAGTTTAACCTAACCCCCCCCCCCCCACACACACGTTCTAGTTCACAGTTTACAGTCAGATTAAACTCAGAACTCAACTTTTAGTATATTGGCGACTTTGTAAAGATATAGCCGCATATGAATAATATTAAAAGTCCTTGTATTCCATCAACTTTTGTCATTATGGGAACAAGAAAGGATTAATGTTAACGCGTATCATTTAATATCAATGTATTTGCTGTCTTTAAAAAAATATATATCTAAGTCCTTATATAGGATGTGGCTTTTTTTTTAAGTAATATAAAAATTATAAATTATAAGTTTAATACTATTCAATAGACTCTCGATATAGTGAACAATATGATCCTTGATATTATAACTATCTTTCATTATAGCGAATGCATTTTATAGTATATACAACATTCGATATTTGGAGAGCATTATTTTGACATCTCTGTAATTCCCAGATTATTATGTTAGTATTACGTTATGTAGAGAGTTCGTTATGTAGAGAGTCTATTGTATATCATGTTAAGCGCATAATATAACATATTTCATAAACTAAAGTAGTTTATATTATAGACATAAATTTTCAAAATAATATTACAGAGTTATCTATATACTCATATAATATATATAACTATATATTATATAGTTATCTATAGAGTTATAATAATTAAAAGTTCGGTGAAATTTTTGTTTGGACTTCTACATTAGGTCTGATATAGAATTTAAATCAAATGTCCACAAGGAACTTCTTACAGTATTGGAATCTACTGAGGTAGTTTTATCGTTGGTTAGCTCAGAGCAATGATTATAAATCGGCCGATGATGGTCTTCAAAGCTTCGAGATTTTGAGGCTTGTTTGTATTTATTATATATATTATAGTATAAGTGTATAAGTCAAATTTTATATATATAATAAATGTGCAAAAAAAAATATATTATATATGTTTTAATTTATACTTTTATACACAGTTTTCACTGACTCTTATATAGCAAGATATCTCCAAAAGCTCCAATATTTCTAACACTAGTTTCATCAGTTACTAGTATTTTTTCTTTTTTATTAATTTTAATGATGTTCGTCTTCAAGTGCTTTGTTGCTTTTGAGATTGCACTGTCAAGCCTCTTCCTGAAATGTCTAATTTATTATAGAATTTGGTGAAATGATTTTAATGAATTTGAGAAAACATTGACAAAGTTACGTTGTTTCTCTGTATAACGAATGAACGATCCCAGTTTTAAAACTCGTTTTGGGAAACATTGTCTCAAAAACAGCATCCGTATCGAGTTGAACATTTCTAATTTAATTACATCTCTTACTGCCTTTACTGCTATGCTTACTCTTCCTACCAAAAATTTTTATATCAGTAGGTCTGTTATAAGTTTTCAAAATATATGTATATAAACCCGAAACGTGAGTTCAGAATTTACTCTCATCAGTTTTTTTAGAGTTGAATAAGAATCGAATTTGGGTAACTTTAAATCTGGAAGACATAATAAGAAATCTATAAATTTGTTTTTATATAAAATTTTCGAATCCTGGTACTTGCAGTCTCAAAAATAATTATTCATGAATAATTAAATACAAGAATTATTTCCAAGCCCACTGATGATGGGTATTTGGCAATACTCGAAACAACTGTATGGTCAGCCAAAAACTCAATTAATTAAAATAATATAAAAATGAATTTTTGTTGTTGTAGTTCACTACTGTTCGATAAAACCTCTTTATAATTTTAAAAATTTTAAAAATAATCTTTAAAATAAAATATTTACTTACAAATTTTTGTTCTATATTAGAAAAAAGATAACGTGCAATTTTAAGAATAGAAAAAAAAGGGAATCCTTACAAAAATTGTAAAGGAGTGGCTACTATAAGCGCAAAATATTTTCCCTATTTTTTATAGAAAATCAATAATCCAGAAATCTGAAATATCAGTCTACAAAATATGTGCTCAAAATGTTATTGAAGATATTGTGTAAGTATTGTAAGTAAATAACCTTGTTGGTAAATGTTAGTAGAAAGTTGTCATATATTTAGATCCATAGGTCAACAGGTCTGCATCCATATTTTCAAGCCATTTTCGGAACCTAATCGATTGCTGACGTATCCAAGTTTTATGTTATATGTTCGTATACAATATAAAGACAATATGTTATAAAGAACTTGAAGATAAGGATCTTAATTTCGTTGCTGTGGGAATACAAAGCCTGGAATTCATATAATTTCGTCAATGCAACGATAGAAGTTTTAAGCCTTATCTCTATATACTTTTCTCTATACACACTTGAAGTTAAAATATTTTTTAATTTTTGGACTACATATCATTTTATTCTTTTTTATATCGATAAGTAATACTAAATGTTCTGTTGCAGATTCTATATTTACAAATAATTAATAAACAAAAAAATAAAAAAATGTTGGAGCTACTCTTCGTTTCATTGATTATTAATTATAATGTTAAATTAATGTTAAATTATAATTACTTTTAATTCTTCTTAATGCTCATTATTATTCATTAAATTGTTTTGTTAATTTGCGTTAATGTTCAAAGCTAATTAACTGTCTTATATACGTATGTGGAATTGTGATGGAAATATGTACTTTACACACATACATATTGGTTGTAAATATAATCATCAAAGAAATTGTTAATTATTACCATAGTTAACATGTTTATCATTTTCCTTATTCAGTTTAATAAAATTTATCTTATTTAAGCACATTCCGACACACGAATGAGAGCTCGTTTGGAATGAAAAATCGCACCAAAAGTTGAAGCAATCTAAAGCTTCAAATTAGGTTAAGTTAAGTTTAAGGAAAGGGAAATTTTTGTTTTATGTCATTTAACATATTGTGCATAAATAATATGCCCATTTTACACATTTAAATAAACTCCTACTCCTACTCGTACTCCTACTCGTACTCGTACTCGTGCTCCGGATATATACAAAGATATAAGCAAAGAAAAAACATTTTAACAGTTTTCTTTCTTAGTCCAAACGCAATTTTCCACATGAGTTCAGCATAAACCCAACACCACATTCACAAGCATTTAAATCCGCGCTTAAGTAGCTGATTTATGCAAAGGTCGCGCCTTGCTTCACCCCTCGACAGGGGACTTAATTTGATTTCCATCGTTGTTTGTAGCCAAATAAGAATAAATATATATT